CACCCTTGGCTGGGGTTTTCTGTGAACCACAGAATGTAAAAAAATGATCTTAGCGACTGTTTCCTTAGTTCTTTCTTCCAAGGATGATACTGGCAAGAACTGTGGAGGGCGAGAAATTTTATCCTGTTTGCAAGTTGCTCAATTACCCTGCTAGGGTTTTAGGGATGCTGGGGCCAGGTAACACCTGAATGTCACAAGTCACAGGAGAGAAACCTGGAGCTTAGAGAACCCAAATCTTTTTTGTTAGGTAAGGCCTGCTCAGAGAGAGAGAGAGAGAGAGAGACAAGTATCTTAGGAAAAACAGTTCAGAATAAAGGTGACCAGTTCCTCTTGCTCACTAGATGTGCACAAATATAAGAGATTGAGGGAGAACTGTCTCCTGACAGTTACCTGGCTAGAACCATCCTAGATGTGTAGGAGAAATGGCTAATTCATTACCTACACGGATGCTTCACTGTGCACAGTTCTCTCCTGCAGCCCAGCGTGAGGAACAACTCTTAGACCTTTGCTGTGGGCCACCGTTCTGAAATATCTAGTGTTCCTTCAAAAGGTTTCAAATAAGGGAAAGAGAGTATCAGAAACTCTCTTCTGTAGCTAATATTTTTCTCTACTGCTTTTTGAGGGGAAAAAAAGGGTTTTATTATTTTAAAGAATTAAATATTTTATAAAAAATTAGATTCTTATCTCCCCCTTAAAGAATTACCCAAATTTGGAAAGTAGTAGATGGTTATATACATATACTGTATAATGAAGCTCATATTTAACAATGGTTTGCCTTGAAAAAAAGAGAGACCTCCATGGCTGAGCTGTGAACTCTTACCGTGACTTGCGTGTATTTATGTATTCACTTCTCGCCTCAGCCCCACTTGATCTCAGCCAGCAGGCCTGTGAAAAATTTCATCTACCCAAGCAGCTGCGCCGCTGCCTCCCAGACCTTGTTGCGCAACACAGGTCTCCTTTTTCACCCGCAGGACCTTCTGCTTCCTCTCCCCAGGCTGTCTCCAGACATGCGTTTCTGCCACTCCTTATGAATAGCCCCACACCCGCTCTGTGTGCCCATGGGGAATTCTGAAATCCAAAGAGCAGTATCTAGCTGAGACTTCTGACGCTGTGGGGGGACCCAGGGAACTCAAACACAGAGACTCAGGTTAAGTGGGAAGTCTGGAAGGCTATCTTGGTGAACCGGCAAATGCCGGATCTTATAGCATATGTAGCATGTATATATGTGACCACAGCTGAAAGATCACAGGAAACAAAGGCTCATGGTAAGAACTTGACCTTGGACAAGGATTGTTAATTCTCCTGTTTGGGGACAAGATAGGGAAAGCCCAGTTGAAGGACAGGCAGGCTTTTACACACACCCGTTCTTTTTAATTTCTAAAAACTTAGGGGTTCATGGGCGGCACCTGTGGCTCGCCGGCCCCATATGCTGGAGGTGGTGGGTTCAAATCCAGCCCCAGCCAAAAAACTGCAAAAAAAACCCAGACAAACAAACAAACAAAAAAACAAACTTAGGGGTTCGTCCCTTCACATGTTCACAATAACTCAAAACACTCAGGGTGTTTTTTTTTTTTTTATTAAACCTTAAAGATGCAGAGATTAAATAGGTAATAGCTGTCAAATTTATGAAGTTTATTTTTAAAGGGTCATATAAATATGGTTACATTGTTACTTTATCTTCATCCCGTTTCTATAAGCAGAGGGATGGCTGTCATTTACTCACCTGTTTATGACTAGGAGGAGTTGATGGCACCCCTTCCAGGCACCTTGAGTAACTGCTGGGAGATAACCCTGCAGTTGTCCAACTGCTTGCAGCCTTAAATTCCCTGCCAGAGATTCATTCACCCTTTCCTCTCCTTTCCTTCCTGGTTTTTTTTTTTTTTTTGAGACAGAGCCTCAAGCTGTCCCCCTGGGTAGAGTGCCGTGGCATTACAGCTCACAGCAACCTCCAACTCCTGGGCTCAAGCGAGTCTCCTGCCTCCGCCTCCCAAGTAGCTGGGACCACAGGCGCCCGCCACAACGCCCGGCTATTTTTTGGTTGCAGCCATCATTGTTGTTTGGCGGGTCCGGGCTGGGGATTCGAACCCGCCACCTTAGGTGTACGTGGCTGGCGCCTTAGCCGGTTGAGCTATAGGTGCCGAGCCTCCTTCCTGGTTTTTAAGACAACATTAAAGGTTCACTTTTTGCTGAAGAACTGGGGGACTTCTGTGGCTGGTCATTTTAGAATTTATAGGTATCTTGGTTGGGAATGATATAGGTTTTATGACTCTGGAATTATAAATAAATTCTTCCAAAAATGATGATTTTTAAATGCTTCCTCCTCTTTTTTTTCTCAACAAAAGATGAGAAACCTTCTGTATAGTAAATATGTATCAAGTCAATAGTGCACCTGATTTATAAAATTCAGTTTTGGTTTTGGAACTTCTAAATGGGTTACTCAGATGTTGGTTGAAGGCTTCATGTCCCTGGCCCTCTGGCTTTGGGAGGTCTAGAAAAGGAGTTAAAGACCTGATCTCACCTCAGAAGCAAGACAGATATCTAAAGGCATTGGGGCACAACCGGTGCCAGCCTGCCCTTTCATCCATTGGCGTGACAGGCTGTCAGAGGTGGTGTGTGGGTGGAAGAGGCCACAGGAGGAGTTTAGGGCAGCAGGCCTAGGGCTGAGCTGCAGAAGGGCAAGGTTAGAGCAGGCAGAGGGAGGAGGAGATACAGGGCGGGAGCCCCAGGAAGCAGGGCTGGGGGCAGACGGGGGACTGCTGGGGCTGGTGGGCGGGGTAGTGCCAGGTCGTGAGGAGAAGCATCAGGTCAGAGGTTGCTGCTGAGGGTGGCTGCTTTGGAGCAGTGGAGGCAGGAGACCACCCTGGTGATGAACATGGCATGTGCTCTGCTGTAGAGGAAAGAGTCAAAGATCATGCTCAGGAATGTGGAAGGGCAAGGAGGTTGCCCGTGGAAACTGGTTTCAGCTGAAGAGGGTGACTGTGAGGTGAAGAGCCTCTGGGCACAGCAGACCTTGAATATGTAGGTGTTGAAAATGTCAGTGGATGAAACAAGAAGCTTCCAGCACTGTGCTTTTAGACGGAACATTATAAACCATCTCCATAGGCCTCCAGTTCTGAGATCATGGGAGGTTAATTCTGATCAACACATATTCACTGAATTCTTCCCCCATCTTTAAAGGCCCCTTGAGGAGTCTGTTCACTTGAGGCCTTTAGATGACCAGAGATTTTTGCTGTTCCTTAGTTTCTCCCTCTAACTCTTAGTCTTTGGCTTTCTCTAGATAAATCCTGAATCCCATGACAGCTTTATTTTTTGAGTTGCCAGATGTATGACCAAGCACTTTAACACATTAAAAAGGCCGGCCATGTGTTGATTTTTTGTAGCTACAAGTTATGGGCTTGACTCTAAGTAGTGATTTTCCTTATAAGCAGAAAAAGAAATGAATACCTTGAAAGTCCCAGTTACTTCTTTGAGTAATTCTAGACTCTGGTTCCTAATCAGTGAACTGATATATGGTGCTTAGTACAAGGTGAGATCTTTTCCAGAAACCTTGAGAAGTCCCATGAGATGTCTCGGCCAGTTTGGGGATTATTGGTATCTATAGTGTGGGCTGTAGCCCTGGGAGGATGCAGAGAGGACTCTGTCCCTGCAGATCTGGGGACATTCGGGAGCTAAGCATTCTCTCCATTTAGGATTGGGATGTTGGGCGCTTGGTGTTCTGTGGCCTTTTCACTATTAACCCTGTCCTTTAAATTTCTACCCTTAGCCCAAGTCAGACCCGATCCTCTATGGTCCAGTGGCTAAACCCACAGTCTCCAACCACACCAAGCTCCGACTCGGCTGTTACACCTCCTTCACCCAGGTCGTCCCCTTTCGCCATAGTGGACAAGCCTCCTGAAGGGTACGTGGTTTGGAGTCTAATGTGGAATAATGGGTGTGGCACCCACAAGAGGCTTGATAAACCCAAGCAAGTTCCTGTTTCCTCTGCTAGAAAAGGCTCATCCAGGCTCCTCTGGCATCCTGGACTTCATGGACAACATTTATAATCTTGTTTCAGGGCTGTGCCTTACTCAGTTTAATAGCAAGTCTGTTCCTTAGAGAAATTTGCCTTATGTGAGACCTGCTTGAACCTGCTCTGTCTTTTTGGGGTAGGTTGTGCATTTATGAAACTACTTACTTGGTAAGAACTTCCTGTACAGGAATGTAAAGCACAGTCTCTGTTTTAAAGGAGGGCAGATGGGCCCTGCAAACATGAATTTGCACAGCAAATGGCCAGTTCTGTAAAGGACAGGGTGGTGAGCCCTTTAGCAAGCCCTTCCACCTGGGTGTCAGCTGAGGCACTTCTTCCTACCAGAGGTTCCCCTGCTCCCCAGTGAGGCGGCAGGATGTTTCTCCTGCCCTGACCGAATGTGGCTAAAGGCACGATTTCCATCTTCCCCCAGTGTGTCCTACTCCCACAAGGGCACAGAGGATGTTTTGACAGATGGTGAGAATTTGAGCCTGGTGTGCCCCTGGGGGCGAGGGGGTCTAAATGCAGAAGTCCCAAGTAAAAACACGTCCCTTCCAGAGTGGGGTCTGGAGCAGGTCGTCATCCCAGATGGACGTGGGTCAGCGTTTCATCGCTGCCCAGGCAGTGTGGCTGAGGCTCTTCCCTCTGATGGCTGAGCTGGGTCTCTGGTTGCGGTGCTGTTTCTTTTCTTTCTTTCTTTTTTTTTTCTTTTTTTTTTTTTTGGTGCTTTTTCTAACAGAGGAGCCGAAGTGCTTGGTAATAAACACGCCCTGTGGCTCTGACGGTGCTGAGCAACAGGGTGGGCATCTCACCAGGCAGGGAGGAGAATTAGGTGGAGTGGTTCAGCCACAGCTTCAGAGAGGCTCCCTAGGGGAAAGGTTTGCATGTGAAACCCGTCATTTACTGGACAATCAAGTACTATGGCTTTGCCTGGTGTTCATTTCCCTGTTCATTTTGTTGTTGTAGGGACTTGCCCCACGGGTAGCGTGTAAATGAGATTTGGGGGATGGGGAGGTGAGGTTTCTTTCTCCCAGTGGGTCTCATTTTCTTCTGTACCTTTCTGCCCCCTTGCAGCATGACCAGTCGGAAGGCTCGAGCGGTGTATCCATGTGAAGCAGAGCACAGCTCGGAATTATCTTTTGAAATTGGAGCAATTTTTGAGGACGGTAAGTGTTAGTGGGAGCTTTAGGATATGCTCTGTCACCCCAGAAGAGCGACAACACAGAGCAGTCACAGATAGCACTGTGGTCAGCAGGACCTTCTCTCCCTGACGCTTCAGACAGGAGAGAGCTGGTGGGTTTGGCTTCCCGATGCTGAAGCCAGGGGGCCGCGTGTGCAGCTGGAGTACAGTCTGCCCCCTCCTTCATCGTCCCCCAACCCTTCTAGCACTTGTGGGTCTTCATTTGGGGCCTCTTCCTCCAGGTGGGAAGAAGCTGGTGCCACTTGGAGTGAGGAGGAATTTCTCATCTACCTCCTTCATTTTGTTCTCCCAGCGTCCCCAGCCAAGCCTCCTGAACGCTTCAGGTCTGCCAAATCTTGAGTTATCAGAGAAGAAATACTATGTTCAAAAACCGTTGATTTCTATTTCCCTGACCGTTTCTGTGCTTTAAATTTTTGCTGATTGAAATGGTGTGTGAATCTCCAGCTACGGCTATTGACTTTGTGTATCCAAACAAGAGCGTAGATTTTTGAGTGTTTGATATTCATACACATTTAGGAGCTATGCCTGGTTTAATATTTTAAAAAGTCCTCCTGTGGTTCAGTGTATGTATTTCCCTCCACCTCCCCCTTGATTTCTTTCCTCCCAGTCCCTCCTGCTTATTATGAAATTCATTGGTTGCTGTGGAAACCGTGATGTCATGTGTGGGTGGAGCTCCCCAAAAGAGTTCTGGGGAAGCAGTGGGAACCTTCGATGCTTGGAATGAAATGGTTGATTAGCCAGAATGTGTGGAATTTATGGCATATATCGACACGAGGCTCAGTGGTGTATTGTCAGTAATGCGGCATTTGCTGACGATTGTTCTACAGAAAGCAAGTTGCCTCATTTAGAATAGATTTCTATACGTGTGTGATAAGTACTCTTGAGAGCCAGAAACTGTCAGAATACAAACAATAAAACCCCACATACAACAGAATTATACTTTGTTGAGAAATTTTGTTCATACACACGTGTAGTTTTGCCAGGAAAGTGTGGCAGAACAGCTGCCTGCTCCAGGCCTGTCACATCTCAGCACACCACATGCCTGCAGGGGAAGCTGAGATGGTCGTATAGGCCCTCACGCATCTGAGATAGGATGATCAATTTTTATTTTGTGTGATTAGATGTATTAAAAAGTCTCTGAAATCTCTTACTCAGCATGCTTTGTGAAGCAGCTACCTTGGCAGAAGATACATCTATTAGGATGCCTTAGGCTGCAAGTAACAAAAACTAACATAACTGGCTACTCAGTCATGAAAATGGTTCAGATAAAGCTGGGCATGGTGACTCATGCCTATAGTCCCAGGTATGTGGGAGGCTGAGGTGAGAATATCACCCGAGCCCAAGAGTTTGACGCCAGCCTGGGCAACCTAGCAAGATCTCATCTCTCTCTCTCACACAGAGAAAGGATTAGTTTTATATAACAATAAGTCTGGAAGTAGGGAGCTCCAGGGTTTATTAATTCATATTCTCAAAGATGTCATTAAAGATTACTGAAGTATTTCTGTCTTTCTGCTCAACCATCTTCAGCACGTGGACTTGGGCCTCTGGCTGGTGGGGACAAGATGGGTGCCACAGTTCCGGGCATCATGGTGACATCTCAGTTCCCACAAGAGGGGATGTCTCATCCTTGTATTTGCTTAAGAATGAGAAATTTTTTCTAGAACTTTCTTAATAGTTTACCAGCCATTATGTCCTAGTAGCCAGAACTGGGTGGCAGGGATTCAGACCAATTGAAATCCCACTCGGCAAAGGATATCTCCTGTAGGTGTAGAGCCATGGGGATGAGGGTCAGTACCTAAACTAACGTGGATCTGCCAGCTTCGGTAGAGGGGAAGGGCTGGTAGGAGATTTACTAAGAAGACTTACTAAGTTCTTCAGCCCATAAGGCGCTAGATGACTTTCAGGGGTCTTCCTAAAAACCAGAATGTATACACATACACACACGTACCAGTGTGTGTTTTTGGAAGAGGAGAGCCATTAACCACAGGTAACCATGGAGTATGAACTCAGTGGCTGTTTTGTCTGAGATCAGCTCTTGGCTTTTCTGCTTTCTGTGTGACCCTGAAAGTTTCCTTAAGTACTGTCTACATCAGATTCTTTATCCTCATCTCTGGAGATGTCCTCAAGATTGATGCTGCATCAAGGTAGCATTTGGAACTGCTGGAAGATGAGCTTTGATGCCATAGACATTGTGGGGATATGGCTGACCATAGTTCCACACTGGGGATGGGGTGGTACACCATGGACATGGCTGCCTTTTCAGCCCAGTTACGTTTCCCTCAGATTCTGTCTCTGTGGTGCTGGTGTCCACGTCTGCCTGGACTTTTCTGCTCTGGGTACCCAGATGTCTCAGTAGTTGCTCAGTCCCTCCTCCAAGCCTGGCCACTCTGAGAATGCCTTGAGGGTGCACTGATGCCCTCTCGCTACCCAGGCCTGTGAGCGGCTCTTTTCATGTGAACGACCTTGTCTGACAGGTGGCTCCCAATTCTTTTGTAGTGGTGTGTTCAGACTGTGAGAGGTGCTCAGAGCCAGTTTCAGACTTGCTGTTTAATAAGAATGGTTTTTAAGAGGCACAGTAAGTTGAAGGCCCTTAAATAGGGTTCATTCTTTTGTGTGTGTGTTTACACCTTCATCTTCTGGGCATAATTGATCTCTTAGCTAGTTAAAAGTGAATTGTCCAGAACACATCTTTTTTTCTTTCAGACAGAATCTCATTTTGTTGCCCTTGGTAGAGTACTGTAGCATCACAGCTCACAGTAACCTCAAACACTTGGACTCAATCCATCCTCTTGTTTCAACCTCCTGAGTCGCTGGGCTATAGGCACCCCCCACAATGCCTGCCTATTTTTAGAGATGGGGGTCTCTCTTTTGCTCAGGCTGGCCTTGAACACCTGAGCTCGAGTGATCCACTCACCTCAGCCTTCCTAAGTGCTAAGATTATAGGCGTGAGCCACCGCATCCAGTACAGGGAAATGAACACCAGGCAAAGCCACACCAGAACATATCCTATGAAGCCTTTCTTCAAATGGCTGTGGGGTCTTCCTTCTGACAACTGACACAGAGTGAGACAGACTGGTGGTCCTGTGGAGCCAGGCCGAGCTTTGAGCAGCCACTGTTTATAATTCAGCCCATGGGAGTGTCACCAGAAATACTTTGTGTCCCTGAATTGCCAAGGTATTTTTTCTGTGTTCACTTACCCATTTGGAATCTCCCACCGTCCAGAGATGCTCTTACAGTACAGGCAACAAAGGAAATCTGTTTATGGCATTCCGCGGCCTTTGGAGAAAAATAAAACTGAGGTCAGAGTGACCCCCGGGCCACGTTGTCAGTAGTTCTGTGGTTTGGAACGTGGACAACAGTGAGAAACCTGAACCCAGAGTGTGGAAGGCAAAGGGTCTTTAGTAATTATGTAGCTGGATGACTGTTGCTTGTTCTTTGCTCTTACTGGGTGGTCCTGGGCTGAAGTTATGAGTTCCAGTTCTAGGCTGAAGATTTGCTTTGGTCGTAGACACACTAATCTTAGCTGCTGTTCTGGGAAGTGCTGCCCACGTGTCCCCAGGGCGAGCAGTGTCTGTCAAGTCTCAAGGCAGTAGACATTCCTGTGATTGCCAGAGGGATATTTCCTTTCCTCTGGGCCTGGGGAACTGAGGAATATATTTTGTAGGTGTATGGCCTGTCCTGCTCCTTTTCCATACAGCTGGCCCTGCAGCCAGGTGGTTACCAGGGCTGACCTTCAGGGGGGCTCCCAGGCCTCTCAGCACCAGCGCTGGCTGAGCTATTTGTTTCTACATGAAGACGTGATCATGCTGCTGCTGGGGGAGCAGGTGTGGCCCAAAGTAATCCTTAAAAGCCTCTGGTGATTAAACTTTAATGAGTCCGAAAGACACAGAATAATCTTTAGAAAATAATTGGGCATTATCTTGGAAAGTTGATCTTATGGAGACCCCCAGGCTAATAGTATGACTCCTACATATATCCCTAACATGGAGGAATCTTAGAAAAAAACGTTAAGTGAAAAAAAAAAAAATAGAGTGCTGGATGCCTAGATATTACGTGATTCTGGTTGGGCTCAGAAATATGAGAAATCTAAAGGATATTATTAGGGATATGTACACATGTGATAAAACTATGTTAGTCATAGCTGGGGTAAGAGAAGAGGAAAGAGCATTCAAGCTACTGATACCCCGGGGCAGGGAGGGGTGTGATACGGGGAGACTGGACACAGCGCAGGGAGGGACACAGGCCTCCCTAGTGCCACACTGCTGTTCTTGAATGTGGGTTCCTAGCAGTCACGGTACTGTGATGATGCTGCAGTCATGTAAATATTTGCCACATACATTGTTTACATTGTGCTGGGAAAAAAAAAAAAGAAAAAAAAAACCCTGAGCCCAGATTCTGTTCTGGAGATGGCTTCTCACAAATTATTATCACTAGCTCAAGTGTCTCTTTTGTCATGGGATGGTATATTATGCTGACGTGGCAAAACCCTGTTTGGATGGCTACTAGCAAAAAATGTGGAGAACAAGGGTCAGACGCAGTGGCTCACACCTGTAATCCTCACATTCTAGGGGCGGTAAGGTGGATGGATGCTTGAGCTCAAGAGTTTGAGACCAGCCTAAGCAAGAGCAAGACTCTGTCTCTACTAAAAAAAAAATTAGAAAAAAACCAGCCAGGTGGTGTGGCACACGCCTGTAGTCCAGCTGCTTGGGAGTCCACGATGCTGCTGAGGCAAGAAGATTGCTCAAGCCTAAGAATTTGAGGTTGCTGTGAGTTATGATGCACCAGCACTCTACCCAGGGCAACAGAGTGAGACTCTGTCTTAAAAACAAAAAAGGCTTGGTGCCTATAGCTCAGCGGCTAGGGCACCATCCACATACACCGAAGCTGGTGGGTTCGAACTCAGTCTGGGCCTGCCAAACAACAATGACAACTACAACCAAAAAATGGCCAGGCATTGTGGTGGGC